ATGCCTGAAGTCTTCTATTTCTCCTTTTCCTAATTGCTTTATCCAAAGGTTTTCCTTCCCCACATTATAAATAAAAGATACATTTCTCACTTATTTCTTACTGTAGTCCATGGCTTCATGGAATAGAAATTTCTAGGGCCCCAAAAGAAGGAAAAATTCAGTTCTAGAGAGAATCCTATGACAAACCCAGCAAGAGGTTAGATCAGAAATGTTGGAGGGGGAATGACTGTTCCATATGGACCGTAAACTCCTGCCTTCTCTATTAGAATTCTAAGTAAGAGTCAATATTAGAAAAATGAGATGGTTATTACAGGGATGTGTATCAACACTTTAATTTCTTCTTTAATTTTATTTTAAAGGAAAGAACACACACACTATAAAAACAAAATTCCAAAATGATATAATACATTGCATATTGTTATCATTAAATTAGTTATTCAGAAAGGTTTGTGCTAATATTGTTTGGACAGTTAAATGCTGATATCTTATACTCTGTACAACATGTTAATTTCAATTAAAAGGCAGTGTAATTTTGTTTGGCAGAAATCTGTTTTATTTGAATGGCTTGAAAACGAGGGTTGAAGGCCAGGGAGATAGCTCAGTGGCACAGTACTTGCCTAGCAAGCGCAAGGTCCTGAGTTCAATTCCTGGTACCAAAAAAAAAAAAGAAAATGAGGATTGTCTACTTAGATTATTTGGTGTGGGTATTGGCCATAAATTGAATTGATTAAATATTTACTGTGAGACAACCAGAAGTCATACAGAACAAAGTACAGAGAAACAAAAGAATGTAAAACATAAAAGAGTAAGAAAATAGATACCACATCCAATTGGAATCTCAGGGGAGTGGAAAGAGAGATGAGGGACAAAGAAATATTTGTAGACATAGTAGCTGGGAATTTTTGAAAATTGAAGAGAAGTCTGTTTTTGTCAGTGTGATTATGTTGTATGAGCTATATTTTGTCAATAGTTGCTATTTAGGATTTTTTGGTTTTGTTTTTGAGACAGGGACTTGCTATGTAGCCCAGGCTGGCTTTGAACTCATGGTGATACTCCTCCCTCAGCCTCCCAAGTGCTGGGGTTACAGGTGTGCACTACCAAGCCTGTTTTAGGAGTCTTTAAAATTGAGTTTCCTCTGATATGTGGGTTTGTCAAGTCTGTAATATCCTTAGCCTCAACCTTTGAAAATAATCTCCTCTTCACTGTTCTCTTTTCCTATCATACTGTTAGATAAATGTCAGATTCTTCCATTCTAAAACCTTCAATTTGGACTAATTATTTCTATTTAAGTTGGTTGTCTTTTTATTTCATTAAATTTAAAATTTTTTAACTGAATCATAATTGTATGCATTTATAGAGTGCAGTGTGTTATTTAAATACATGTATACAGTTGTGATCACATTAGAGTAATTAGCATACTTATCACTGCAAACTTTTCTTTGTGGTAAAACATTCTGCAACATATTTGATTAATTTCTTTAAACCTATACTCCAAGTATACTGATTATCTATCTATCTGGGTCCAATCTGCTAATTGATTTATTCTTAATTTAATTGACTGTACTTTTTATTTGTAGGAGTTCTGTTTCAGATGGACTTGTCTGTTATTGTATCTTGGTTTTTTTTCTTAGTGTTTTCTTTAATGCTTTATTTTAAAACTTTTAGTCATTTAAACATTCATTTTGCAGTATCTATAGTTTTTGAGTGTCTAATCTGACTTTATATTGGCATTACTTTTCTACTCAAGTTTGGTTGATTTTGTTTGTTTGTTTGTTACCTTTTTTTGAGACAGAATCCCAGGTAGTTCAGGCTGTCCTTGAATTCACAGTTTAGCTCAGGATGGTCTTGAATTTACAACAGTCTTCCGGCCTCAGCCTCTTGATGCTGGGATCACAGGCATGTGCCACCATTCCTGGCTTCAAGGTTGACTGATTCTTTTTATTGATACGTGTTTTGTTTTGTTTTATTTTTTGTCTTTTTGAGACAGGGTCTCACTGTGCAGTTCAGGCTGACCTTCAGCTCACTTTGTAGCCCAGGCTGGCCTCGAACTCACAAAGATCCTCTTGCCTCAGCCTCCCAAGTGCTGGGATTACAGGCATGCTCCACCACGCCCGGCTTGATACATGTTTGTTGCAGCACATAATAATTACATTCTTTGTCAGATTCTTCAGTCTCAGTGAAGAGGAGACTGTTTTCAAAGGTTGAGGCTAATCATTGAGTTGGTACAGACAGGTTGATTGATTTTTTTTTTTTTTCATTAATTCTTGATGTGTTCTTAAATTTTAGATTGTGAGTTTATGTTTGGCAACCTTTGTGGGAAATCTTTGCTAGGAAAAATCAAATACTCTCTAGTATATCTCTGGAAGAACAACAAAGGCTTCTCACAGACAGTGCCCTGCGAAGCATGAACTCACAAGAAGCCTGCAGTTGTGGATACTCAGAAGAAAATTTTTGTCTCCTCTTCATCCTCCTTTGGTTCTTTCTTCTTATCTTGCAAAGAAGAAAAATGTGTTCATCTTGTCGTTGTTTCTTTGTTGCCCCTGTACCATGAAACAGGTTTTGTCCTCACTGTCACTATCCTTGGACATTTTCTTCTTCTTTTGATCGGGTTTATTGAGATATAAAATTTAGCATTTTCCCCCCAGTGTTAGGAATCATGTCCAGGGTCTTGTGCATGGTAGATAAACATGCTACTGTAGAGGTATACTCAGTCAACAATTTCAGCAAAGTTTTTTAGATGCTAGAGATTAAACTCGGGCTTTTCGCATGCTAGGCAAGTGCTCTTCCATTCAGTTAAATCTCCAGCCAGCAATTTTAAATGTAGAATTTAGTGAGTAGTACCACAATCATGATAATAGAGCATTTTCACCTTCCCTAAAGTTCTCTGATGCTCTTTTGCTGTTAGCCTGCTCTCCCCAACCTCTGGTAGTTAGTAATCCATTCTTTTCTCTGGCCTTCCTTCCCTTTCTGTGTTGTATTATTTTCTTTTGTTGTGTTGTATTTTGTGGGTTTTTTTTTTTTTTTTTGCAGTACCAGGGATCGAACTCAGGACCTTGCACTTGCCAGGCAGGAGCTTATGCCACTGAGCTATATCCCCAGCTCCAGTTGTGTTGTATTTTGTTTTAGGACTTCTGGGGATTGAACCCTTATAGACATGTGCTGAGTATGAGTAAAAACAACTTATTTCTTTCCAATCTTAATGGTTTTTTCTTTCTTTTTCTTGCCTGTGTGCACTGTCTTGAACTTGTAGTACAAGGTTGAGTACAAGTGGTGACTACATCCTTGCTTTTAAGGAAACTTCCCATATGGGGCTATCTTCAGAGAGGTTGGAGGTAAAGTGTTTAGGAGTTGACTACTGTCTCTGTGAAGCTAGGGTTTGGTTTAGACTGAAGAACATGGTAGTCAAGAATGAGCTTGTCATCTCTCACTTTGTTTATTGCTGAAATATAATTAGACTGGAGGCATGAAATGGACATACTGTCATACAAGATGAGTCATACTGGGGTGGAAGTTGCAGAGTGTGCAGATCAGTGATAAAGCTCTTGCTCGAGGTCTTGGGTTCAATCCCCAGCATTGCAAAAAATTAATTAGCTAAGTGCAGTGGTGCACATCTGTAACCCCAGCTACTTGGGAGACTGAGGCAGGAAGGAGACTCAGAATTTCAAGGCCATCCCAGGCAACTTAGCAAGATCTTGTCTCTAAAATAAATAAAAGTAAAAATAAATGTAAAAAGGGGCTGGGGATATAGTTAAGTACCACATTAATTAATTAATTAATTTATTTATTTATTTATTAATAAAAGGAGTCCTTAGAAAACAAGTCAGCAACTATCACCAAATGTCTACTTCCAGTTGCCTGTCGCTTAACCTAATGAGAAGTTTTAATTTTCTAGCAATGTTATTCATTACTACAGGGTGATTTCAAGAAAAGGAATAATCTTTGCTTTATGGCTATTGTCTTTTGACATTGTAATTTATGGTTTTAACTGTATCAACTAGCTGTTGTTTAGAAGTTTGTCTTGTCATAGGTTAGGGGATAAATATCTTGAGTCAAAGCAACTAGATGAAAAACTTTTCTGAGGTAATTTCAGCACATCTGATGAAAATCTTGTGTGTTCAGAAAGACCTCTTTTAGAAATTGATACATAACTATCAAGTACCCACTTCCTTTTTTTTTCTTATGACCATTAAGCTACACCCCTAGTGTCTCATGTACTTTAAGTCAGCCATAAATAATACAGAAAGTAAGTTTTGAAGAGTACGTTTGGGGCAAGGGGAAAATTTTATAAAGGCTATGTTATCACATTTAATTATCTACAGTAATATGAGAAATTATATTAACTCCTAGGACATAGACTTTTCTGAAGTACAAAGGGTATGTTTTTCAAAAAGGTTCATTTCCGTTACTGTTTCTTAAGTGACAAGAAGCTGTTTTCCATCAAACTACAAAGAATCATGAGCAATACCATGACTCAGGCCTTTTCTAATTGGTATAGAAGGTCATATCTACTGGACAAGGAACGTTGAAAAATAGGTGAGGTCTGGAAGACTCCTGAGCACAGGAACTTCTGTCCCAGTGGAGTAGGGTCAACCACCCTCTAGGCATGTTGGTATGACCCCCAGCCCAGAGGCTCATCAGCAACCTGGCAGCTCATCACATCTCCTGTACAAGAGTTTTTTCCCTCTTTTTTTTTTTTTTTTTTTGAGATAGGGTCTCGCTATGCAGTTCAGGCTGGCTTCGATCTCACAATGATCCTCCTGCCTCAGCCTCCCAAGTGCTGGGATTACAGGCGTGCGCCACCACACCCGGCTCTGTACAAGACTTTTTATAAAGCTGAATTTCTAATCATCACTGAAGTTCTGTGGGTGGTGCTGAAAGTTCCTAGAGGGTAGCAGGTAGTTTTAATCAGGGATGAAGACCAAAAACATGTATTATTACACAAAATGGTTTTGTGAGAATGTTTTACTGTTAATTTATTATTTTAACTTTATGTCCTTCAGATACTTGGATTTGAGCTGCATTTTGGAATTCATCTGTACCTAAAATGCCAGTGGCCGTTGGAGGACCAGTTGGATATACACCCCCAGATGGAGGCTGGGGGTGGGCAGTGGTAGTTGGAGCTTTTATTTCTATTGGCTTCTCTTACGCATTTCCCAAATCCATTACTGTCTTCTTTAAAGAAATTGAGGAGATATTCGGTGCTACCACCAGTGAAGTGTCATGGATCTCCTCCATCATGTTGGCAGTCATGTATGGTGGAGGTAAGTAGCCATTAAGGCCTACTCTTCTAATTTTCATTAAGCAGCCACAGTCCCAGTATTAGGTAATGGTGTCATTGTTATCATCGTTGTTGTTGTTTTAATGTCTTATTCAGTTAGATGTTTTGAAATGTTATTTCTTGAAGTACATACTGTATTCAGGGTCACATTTTTCATTCCTGATAACAATGACACTTGATGTATTTGTTCCACTATGATTTTCTGAATCAAAAATGAGAAATTATAAAAACTTACGATTTTTCTTCAATTCAACTATCATTGAGCTTTAAAAGCTCTCATAAAAACAGTGTGTCCACAACTGGGTATTTTTGTTTTTTACCTGACTCTTGAAATACAAGCACGCACATAGGTTTCTCCCATCCAAGCACTACGGGCCTGACCCTGCGTAGTTCCCGAGATCAGCCGAGATCGGGCGCGGTCAGGGTGGTGTGGCCACAGACTGATTTCTGATGTTGGAAGAATTAAATCAGACTAAGCTGAATAGCACAGTTCAGAGTCTCAGGTAAAATATTTTAATGGTGTTAGAAATTAAAGAATTGGATAGAATTTTCCTTTGTTCTTTGTAATTTTTGTGTGTTCTAAAAGCATTTCAGCTGAGTTTTGCTGGGTGTGGTGGTACATGCCTATAATCCCAGCACTGGGGAGGCTGAGCCAGGAAGATCACTGTGAGTTCAAGGCCAGCCTAAGCTACATAGTGAGGTGATCCTATCTCAAAAAACAAACAAACAAACAAACAAACTTGAGTTTTATCATTTCTTCCCCTTCTGTTTTCTTTGTGAAGGCTGTGTAGAGAGTAAATTACTTACTTAGCATCATTTAAAATGTTATTTGCTTCACCTTGAAACTTTAGACCACAATTAAACATGTAAAAGTTAAACCTACCATAATACTTAAAATAAGTAATTGTGTAATTGGCAGGAATTCCAAAGCCAAGTGCTTTTGTTTACTAGGATTGACAGTGTCTTGTGTTGCCTTCTTTAGACAAGCTTCTGCTTCTGGTAACCTTGTTTTTGATAGCAATTTAATACCTCCCTAATATAAAAACAATTATATATTTCCACTGCACATAACTTAGCCCTAAACAGCTAAGCTGGTAGCAGACTCAGCCAGCCCCATGAATATATTCAGCACTACATGTGAGAGACAGTACTGACTCTGATCTTTTCTTTTGAGAAGTTTGTAATTCTTTTGAGATAATAAAAGCTCTTGAAACAGGAATATATACTTGAAATCATAATTTATTTAAACATATAATTAAATTGTGCAGAAGAACAAGTAACAACTGCTTTGGAGAAAGATAAACTAGGTGGTTAGAAACAGGAGTGGGAAATATCTGTGTCTTTTTGTGCCTTTTGCATCTTGAACATAGGACTTTTTTGCCTGTTAAATGCGTTTTTAAAGAACCTGAGTGCTAAGTTGTAGTACTTACCTTTTAGAAATAAACACAGACTTTAGGACATTATCTTAGATTTCTGAGAGCCAACCCTTTTACAGGCTTTGAATTTCAGTCTGCCAGGGTGTCTAATCAGATTTTGATGATGATGGCTTGAGGAAATAGGTATGCTCTCCAGAGGTGCTCCAGGTCCCTAAGTCAGCTTAAGCTGAACACCAACCAGAGGTTTACTTGTTGCAATTCTGAGCTGCGAAGGGCTAGGGAGCCACTTGGCGTTTTGTAGCAAAAGTAAATGATGTCAGTTGTGCTCATTGCACATGACACTTTCCTTTGGGGAAACAGCTCCTTCTTTGTCCTCACCCATTTAGTAAAATAATTGGCACATTTCTCTGAGTTTGTGTTATAATAGTCCTATAAACTGCTCTTTCTATTTTTAATGATGGCTAATTAGGGCCATCTTTCATGAAATACTAAAAGACAAATTGCCTATCATGAGCTTTGCGACAGAGTTTTTATAAAATGGGTTACTTTGTTTCTGGCTTTTTAAGTAATATGTCCCCTAAGAATTTAAATCACTTTTACAACTGTCATAATCCTTTAACTTACATACTTAGGCTGTGTTCTGAATAGCAGTATGTTTTGAGCTGTGAGTGATTTTCGTTTTCTTTTTACTGCTTTGGGTTAGAGACACATACTGATGGTTGTTAGAATGCAAATATATTTTGGGAGAGATCTTAGTTACCTACTTTGTGTTTGTTTTTCCTTTTGCATAAAAATCTAAAAGCACATATTTTCAGTTCCATGATGTTCACCTGAGTACTCCTGGCTTGGAATTTCATTAGAAATGCTGTAAAATTTATGTCATGAACTTACACCTCACGGAGTAACTAGTGTGATGGTGTTGGTTTTTATAATTCTGACCATATAAAATCTTATGACTAATTTATATGGAAATACTTTATAAATATTCATTCAATATTCAGTTCTTCTTTTGCAAGCTGTAAATTCAAGTTATTTTCAAATCATCTGTTACCTAACTTTTCCTAGTGAAAAAATGTTCTAGTGAAAACCTGTTCCTCCTCGAGGGCACTTTTTTTTTTTTTTTTTTGGTTAAAGCTGCCTGTCATAATGCAGAAGGGAAAACAGGCTACCCTGGGCCTCTTTTGTAAGGACACTGACTCCATTCATGAGGCTTAAAGGTCCTGCTTCTTTCTTTTGGCCCCTGGAATCGAACTTGAGGCCTTGCACTTGCCAGGCAGGCACTGTACCACTGAGCTACATCCCCGGCCTCAAGGGCCTGCTTGTAAACACTATTCCTTTAGGGGTTATGTTTCAACAGAGGCTAAGGAGAGACCAATATTCAGGCCATAGCAGTGATTCAGAAGGTAGCTGTGAAATTGCTTCATGTACATCTTCAGCTAAGTCTTTTTGGCAGCTAGTTTCTGATTCTACCCTTCAAAGAGAGTCTTCTAGAACATGGGATAATCAGAAGCTTTGACTTCTTACGTACTTATTGAATACCTATATAGAACTACAAAGTGAGACTGGTCTTGAAATCACTATGTAGTCCAGGCTAGTCTCAAGTTTACAGTGATCCTCCTGCCTCAGCCTCCCATGCGCTAGGACTACAGGTGTGCATCACCACGCCCAATTTGAACCCGTTTATATTATTATCTGACTTAATTTCTTGCAAGCATTTTTTCCCAGTATTGCTACCATGAAACATAGTAGTGTAAGAATGGCCAAGTAATCTGAAAGGTTTAATCAGTTTAATACCTAAGACATGTAGATGTAACTGGGCAGGATTATTGTTCAGTTTTTTGCTTTTTAATGGAAATGACCTACTTGCAAAGCTCCTTAAGCTTGGAAAAAAAGGATTATTTTTGTCTTTTAAAATAAAAGTACTAGCCGGGTGCGGTGGTGCACACCTGTAATCCCAGCACTAGGAGGATCCTTGCGAGTTTAAGATGAGCCTGGGCTACAAAGTAAGCTCAAGGCCAGCCTGGACTACTCAGTAAGACCTGTCTAAAAAAAAAAAAGCTTTAAAGTCAGAAATTTATTCAGATGTGTTCATACATCTCATCATACCAGTGTGGTTGTCCAAAAATTAAAACAGAACAGACTGGGCCGGGGATATAACTCAGTGGCCTAAGTGCCTGCCTGGCCAGTGCAAGGTCCTAATTTCAATTTCCGGTACCAAAAAAAAAAAAAACAGAAGAAAAGTAAAAACAGAGCAGACTTATTAAATATGTTGTGCATATCTTAGATATATCAGATGTCCTGTGAACATCTATTATCAAGGTATTTCCAGTTGTCCTACTTTAAGAGAGAAAGATTAACCAGGGATTGGAGCCTTATAGTTTAGTAAAATTCCATCCACTATTTCTAGATATAAGACAGGCACAATTAATGATGTTGGAACATCTTTATTTTTCAGTACACAAAAAACTATAGAAAGCAATATTCTTTTCATTGCCTGTTGTTTATCTTAGAGGACTTGTCATATATTGTCAGTCATGCCTTATGTGGATGTGAGGGAGTAAGTCTCCTTTGTACTGCTAAATGTATTTACCTTCTCCTAGGACCTATCAGCAGTGTTCTGGTGAATAAATACGGCAGTCGCCCAGTCATGATCATTGGCGGCTGCTTGTCAGGCTGTGGCTTGATCGCAGCTTCTTTCTGTAAGACTGTACAGGAACTGTACTTGTGTATTGGAGTCATCGGAGGTGAGTTGCTACTAATTTTTCTTCCCCAAGTGTAGCTTTATTGCTTTGTTTTTCACCTACATTTAGCTTTCAGATCTTTTTAAATTAAATTCATGCTGGGTGTGGTGGTGCACGCTTGTAATCCCAGCACTCAGGAGGCTGAGGCAGGAGGATCATTGTGAGTTCGAGGCCAGCCTGGGCTACAAAGTGAGCTTAAGTCCAGCCTGAACTGCATAGCGAGACCCTGTCTCAAAAAGACCAAAATAAATAAATAAATAAATAAAATAAATTCATTCTTTAATGAAATGATTTATCACTTTGAAAAGCTAAGGATAAAACAGTACTAGAAAGCAAACTTCTAAAGAAATTTCTGTTTTAGAATAGGTGCTTATTGTTCTTTGAATGAATCAAAAGAAATGATCTCTTGTCCTAAAAATCAGCTGTGGTAGTAGATAAAGTATATGTGGCAACTTGTAGAAGGGTGTAAGGTAGTGAGCTACTGACGAGTATAATGAGTGAAGATTACTCGTAATCTCACAGCCCGAAGACTGTCACTACTGGCATTCTCGTGTGTGTCCTTCCATACTTTTTCTGTGCATGTGACTAACCATCTTTCAGAACAAAACCAAGAATCAAGCTTTATATGTTTGGTCACTTTTTTTTTTAATTCAACAGAAACTTCTGATAAATGACAAATGTATTTAATCTTTGTTATTTCATTAAATAGATACATTACCTTTCTGTATGTCTCAAATTTTTTCTTCTTCACAGAAGTGTTGTGTTCCTGTTTTAAATATTAGGAAACAGTCCCGAAAGGGTTCACAGATCTGAAATTATATAACCAGTAAATAGTGATGCTGAGGTTTGAGCCCATAAGTCTGTTTCAGAGCACACACTTTAAAGTTATTATGCACTATGTTGTCTAATAATGAGGATTTTTGTGTCCTTTCCGTTACCTATACCTCTTACTTTTGTTATCTAATTACTATGATATGTGTCTGGCATTTATTACAGTATGTGGGCCTTCCCCCTCCCTCCTAGGTCTTGGACTTGCCTTCAACTTGAATCCAGCTCTGACCATGATTGGCAAGTATTTCTACAAGAAGCGACCATTGGCCAATGGACTGGCCATGGCAGGCAGCCCTGTGTTCCTCTCTACGCTGGCCCCCATCAATCAGGCTTTCTTCGGTATCTTTGGCTGGAGAGGAAGCTTCCTAATTCTTGGGGGCCTCCTCCTAAACTGCTGTGTAGCTGGATCCCTGATGCGACCAATAGGGCCCAAGCCAGCCACGACAGGAAAGATTCACGCTAAAGAAGCTGGAAAATCCGATGCAATGCAAGATGCTGGTGATGCAAATACAGATCTCATTGGAGGAAACCCCAAAGAGGAAAAGCTGTCGTTCTTCCAAAAAATTAATAAATTCCTGGACTTGTCCCTGTTTGCCCACAGAGGCTTTTTGTTATACCTCTCTGGAAATGTGATCATGTTTTTTGGACTCTTTACACCTTTGGTCTTTCTTAGTAATTATGGCAAGAGCAAACATTATACTAGTGAGAAGTCTGCCTTCCTCCTGTCCATTCTAGCCTTTGTTGACATGGTAGCCAGACCTTCTATGGGACTTGTGGCCAACACGAAGTGGATACGACCTCGAGTGCAGTATTTCTTTGCTGCTTCTGTTGTTGCAAATGGAGTGTGTCATTTGCTAGCACCTTTATCCACCAGCACTTACTCTGGGTTCTGTGTCTATGCTGGATTCTTCGGATTTGCCTTTGGGTGGCTCAGCTCCGTGTTATTCGAAACCCTGATGGATCTTGTTGGACCCCAGAGGTTCTCCAGTGCTGTGGGATTGGTGACCATTGTGGAATGCTGTCCTGTCCTCCTGGGGCCACCAATGTTAGGTATAGTATGTCTTCCTGCTCTGTGGCTCTGTTATAAAATAGTCCTGTCATTCAAGGTTGGCACACGGTAGAAAGCAGGGAATACTGAGCTGTTGGGTGGCAAAGGGCAAGCCTTACTCTGTATCCTGGTGCTCATGTAATGCTCGGCACGGCAAAATAGCTGGAATCCTCCAGAATATAATTAAATTGAACCATTAAGCTGTGTGAGGGGGGAGATTAGATCTCATTATAAAACTAATTTTCTGGTCATAAAATTAACATGCTAATTATAAAAAAGCAACTTCATCTTTAAAATACTGGAGATATCATTTTAGTAGTCAATTTTACTTTGGTAGTAATAGTATAATAGTAGCTATCGTGTAAACTCACAGTGTGCTAGTGACCTAACAATTGTATTTATCCCATTGCATCTCACAAGGCTGTGAGACAGAACTGTTTTAACCACCTCCCTCCCTTTCATAAATGAAGAAATAGTGGTTTAAAAGGTAGAGTACACCAGGTGTTGTGACACACACCTATAATCCCAGCACTAGGGAGGCTGAGGCAGGAGGACCGTTGTGAGTTCAAGACCAGCCTGGGCTACAAAGTGAGCTCAAGGCCAGCCTGAACTGCATAGGGGCTGGGGATATAGTTAAATGGCATAAGTGCCGGCCTGGCAAGCACAAGGTCCTGAGTTCGATTCCCAGTACCAAAAAAAAAAAAATTTAAAAAAAGACTAAATAAATAAGTATTGAACCTAACCATTGAATTCTTACATCTATGCAAAGAGGGTAATAGTACAATCTGCCTGTTCTAAGGACTAGGAACTTAGAATAGTGGCAGAGTATTGCTTTGAAGTATATAGCATAGGCAGGTGTCCACAGCACACTCTTTGGGAAATGCTGATAAAGAGCAGTGGCCTTGGTAACTAGAACAGCTTTATGGCCTTGGACCAGACTCCTGGACCTCTTTTGAGCAACAGTTTTTTCCATTATGTATTAGGAAAGCTGAGTATAAGTAAGTGATCTTTGGATCTTTCCTAATTCAAATTTGCCAAGAGTTGATTGTCTTCAGGTTGTTAAGAATATCAGAATATCCAAGTCCATCCAAAAATCAGAAAATATAGAAGATAAGATACTTTAGCACTTTCTTTTTTTAAATGTTGATTTGTCTGGACTCTGAAAATTAGATTAACATCTTTCTGAGATTTTTCAAAGTTGTTTTTCAAAGATTTCTCATAGTTGTTCATTTTTGCTTTTAAAACATCTTTTAGGTCGTCTCAATGATATATATGGAGACTACAAATACACATACTGGGCATGTGGCGTAATCCTAATTATCTCAGGTGTCTATCTCTTCATTGGTATGGGCATCAATTACCGACTTCTGGCAAAAGAAGAAAAAGCAGAGGAGAAGCAGAAAAATGAAGGTAAAGAGGAAGAAACCCGTATAGATGTTGATGAGAAGCCAAAAGAAATAACTAAAGCAGCAGCATCTCCAGAGCAGAGAGGCACAGGAGACCCCAAAGAAGAAGAGAGTCCACTCTGAATCTGTGGGGCCGAAGGGTGAATGGAAGAGGTCATGACCCAAGTCTTCTGAAAATACGTGACTCTCCCGTAGTCTACCGCGGTGCTCAATGCAGACAGTGGACATTTATGAGGAAAACTTACCAGGTGTTCATTGATGGAATTTTTGTTTCACTCCTTACCAATAGCCTGAATTTAAAATACCATACTCTTCGGGGAGGGAGTGGTTGGCAAAGAATGTGGGAAAGAAATAGGGTTTTTTGTTTTGTTTTGTTTTGTTTTGTTTTAATCTTAGCTTTTAACAGCGTCATGAAAATTATATTATGTGCCTTAAGTTTTAGTCTTTAGAACTCTTTAGAGAGCCTTAACTTTTTAAACCCATTCTGCTGAATTCTGTTTTTTAAGTGTCAGATTAAAAGGAAAATAACAACTAACTTATTTGAGGCAACTCTAAAATTTAATCTTGCTCATTGTTATTTGTAATGTACTATCAAACATTGTTACTGAAACATTTATGAGTAGAAATATTGGTTATATTGGTGGAGAGTTTTCTTGTTTTAGTACTGGGGAGTGAACCTATGGCCTTGCACTGAGCTACATCCCCACCCTTTTTAAATTTTTTTTTTTTTTTTTTTTTCAGACAGGCTCTTGCTAAGTCACTAAGTAGCTCTGGCTGGGCTTGAACTTGTGGGAGGTTTTATAATAAAATGCTAAAATATTTTTCTAGCATCAGTAGTTGCCAGGCATATGTGCCTAATAGCTAAATATTTAGGAAATTTAAAGCATAAAACTTGGGAAACATGTTGGCTAGTCCAGCCACATAGTATTTGTCAATACCTCTTGGTTACCTTTTCTGGAATACTTACTGGAAGCCAAGTATTTGAGCATTGTTTTCACTAATTTACTGTTTGCTCCCCTGTTCAAAGATGTTTTGCGTGGATATAGACATTACCCATTTTGAATTATTTCTCTAACTGTAAAAGTATTAAAACCTAAAAAGTTATGTATTCATGGCACCTTATTAATGCTAAACATCTTATTAACTATAGACAGATACTTCAAGCATCAACTGAATGCAGCTTATTTTTTTTTTAAAGCTTGATTATATCATACTGTGAGGCTGTTAGAATCTTTGTGTTTGTGTGTGTGTTTCGTTTGCTTGGGGGGCGGTTGGTGGTGCTGGGGATTGAACCTAGGGCCTCAGGCATGCTAAGCAGACTACCACCTTGCTCCACTGCCAACCCCCTGGGGTCTTCTTTTCCTTTCTTCCTGGAATTTTTCCTCTTCAATTTTGGTAGTTTCATCTATATTTGCTTTCAACTATAAATGAGATGTTCAGCATAGATAAAATGTTTGTCGTTTTTTGTTTTGGTTTTACATTTTTTTTTCTTCAGTGTTTGCGAATTCAAGTGTGCCAAAATAATGTGGCTGTAGGCAAACCAATAAAGATAAGATTTGGAGAGACGTTGTAAAGTATGCATACTTTCAGTAAGCAATTCCTTTTTTTTCTCCTGAGGCGGCTTAAAAAGAAAATTATGTTATATTTAGAATTATTGGACACTTTTATTCTGGACACAAACCTGAAGTTTTATGAGCTTTTTTACCACCGAAATGTAGAAAAATGAGTTCAGTATAAAGACAAGAAAGAGAGTGGACTAGAATGAAACCAAATACTTTTTAACCTAATGTCTGAAAAATTGAGGCAGAAAAATACATTCAATGAATTATATTCAATGCATTTAAAATATTGTAATTAATAGGTGAAAGATTTAAAATTTTGTGTGAGGCTGACTTTCAAATAAAGTATTCATTTTATTTTTAGAAAAATATTTCTTCCTCAATGTTTATTTTCATTTTTATTGTTTCAGTTTGGCGCTTGCTGAATATTAAATCATCCAGCCTATATGCCTTGAGATTTGTGTATATGGCTTGTTCTACACATAGATTTTCTCCATCTCCGCTCTTTGCTTTTTGATAAGTAGGAGGGCAGTTTTGAAGCCGCTCTTGATTGAACTAACAGCAGTTAGCCTTAAGAACAGAATGAAAAACCATTTCAATGAGTGTTACAGCAGATGCAGGAGGAATTAGAGGGCAGAACGCTGCAGAGATGCTTGGACCCAGTTTGGACTCTGCCGTCTTCCATGGACCCAAGTATAACCTGTGTGTCTTCTATAAAAATGAAGGTTACCATTGGTGAGGAACATAAGTAACTGAAGTGTAAAATATAGTAAGAAAGCAAATATAAAGTATTATCCTCCCCATCCCAAAGCTGTATTCACATGGCAGACCCTGCTTAATATTTGTGTAGGCTGGGGGTTGTGCACACCTGTAATCCCAGCACTAAGGAGGCTGAGATGAGAATCGCCCTGAGTTCGAGCCAGCCTGGACTATATAAGTGAGCTCAAGGCCAGCCTGCACTATATAGCAAGACCTTCCCCTGCCAAAATATATATAATAGGTATATATTTGTGTTAAGTAGGTGATCCTACCAGAGTGAGAGTTTTTCAATTCACCACCACTCTTTAAGGAAGGCTGAATTTTCTGTATTCAAAAGCAAAAAGTTCGTTAACAGGCTGAAAGGTAGAACTAAACTTTTTTTTTGAGATCGTCTCACTATGTAGCCCAGGCTGGCCTTGAACTCACTATATAACTCAGGCAGTCCTCCTGCCTCAGCTTCTTGAGTACTGGGTTGGAACTAAACTTTCTTTTTTTTTTTCTTTTTGAGACAGGGTCTCCCTGTACAGTTCAGGCTGGCCTTGAGCTCACTTTGTAGCCCAGGATGGTCTCAAAATCCCAACAATCCTTCTGCCTCAGCCTCCTGAGTGCTGGGATTATAGACATGCGTCACCATGCCTGGCGGAATTAAACTTTTTATCATCTGCTCAAATCTGGTTTTTACCCACAGAAGAGTCAGGTTTAAAGATTTGTTTTCCTTTGGGTCCTCGGGATGGAACCTAGGCTATGCTAAACACACTTTACCCCTGAACAGCACCTCCAGCCCCACAGTTCTAAACAAGATCACTTTTGGTAATAGTCACTACAGAAACTCAACACAGGCCTACTCTGTGCCTAACTGCTTGTTAGTGACTGGCCATCTGGGGCAGATCCCTCCCGGAAGCAATGGGCTTCCTGATTCTTTCTGTTGTCCTTGTCTCTTTATCTTATCCATCCATCCATCTGTCCGTCCATCCATCCATCCATCCAGGGTCTCAATGTGCAGTTCAGACTGGCCTTGAACTTATTATGTAACCCAGGCTGGCCTTGAACTCATGAGATTTTCCTGACCTGGCCTCCCAAAGCTAGGATTAACAGATGTGCACCACCATACCCTGCCTGTGGTGTTTTTGTTTTGTTGTGGGTTTTTTTTGGTCTTTTTGAGACCTGGTTTCACTATCCAGTTAAGGCTGGACTTGAACTCTGTCTGTAGCCCAGGCCACCTTGAACTTGCAGTGATCCTCCTGCCTCAGCTTGCCAAGTGCTGGGAACACAGCCTATGCCACCACGCCCAGCTCCTGTCTCTATTTTAAAGACTGACTCCATTTGAAGTTTTATTTCAGTTCACATGCTTTTTGAGGCTGCTTGGAGAAGAGATATATGCACAGAGCACCAGCCTTCCCTTCTCTCTGCCCCACACCGTCTTAATGTAGTTTCAGTGTCCAGAAGGCATGAGACTGTTCAAGAGTACAGGAGAAGTGAGAGTGAAAAAATTATTTAAGAAGCGGATAGCTTGGACAATCACAGAAGGTTATGATAACATAAACATATGTCATGCTCAAGCCTGATGAGAATTTAGATTGTCTTAACTAGCCAAGATAAGTGAATAGTTTGTCCAAAGGTATTTAAAGAAGGATGATAGCTGGGCATGGTGGTGCATGCCTGTAATCCCAGCTCTTGCAGGGCTGAGGCAGGAGGATCGCTGCATGTTCGAAGCCAGCCTGAACTGCATAGTGAGACCCTGTCTCAGAAACAGGGAAAATAAAATAAAAAGGAAGGATGATAGTAAATCATGGAAAATTGAAAATTATTCACATTGAATAATTCTGTGTTTTATATTTGTGGGCTGTCTGGACTTAGTAGCTTAAGCCAGTATTTCTGTGTGTGTGTAAGTGTGTGTGTGTGTGTGTGTGTCTTTTTGAGACACAAATTTGTTAAATCTGTATACTATTTTGTATGAATCCATGTTTTACTATATTGAATTTCAGATTGGATATTGGTTGCAGATGTATATGAAAAACCTATGTCTGAGCTTTACCGTCCCTAATAATGATACAGTCACTGGTTCAGGACCGGCCCCTCCCTACCAAATTTCCACATTTGCAACACGGCTTGCTTTAACAATCAAGTCAGTCACTTGTCTAGAAGACATGAAGAAAGAAATTAATGATAGATAGGCTTGTGTAACTCAGCATTTGACTTAAAATGACAACCCAAGCTCGCCTGGCTTGTCCCAGTGGGAAGCACAAAGTTGCTTCAGAGTTTAGAAGCATCTGGGCTGGTAGTGGCGGCGGAGTGTTTCCTGCACACCACTCCAGAAACGTGCTCTGGTGTTAGGGTTTTAGATTCACTCGCTCTTTTCTTCAGTCAGTCTAGATCGTAGTGGCAAACACTCAGAAATGACCCGTTGGGAACAATAACATGTATCAGGCTAGAGTATCTTTCTCAGACTCAAGAGGATCAGTTCTCTCATGCTGATTTTCATCCACTTGGCCTGGGGGAGACAGTGGTAAGTAGCCAAGGAGGCAAACCTACTAGCCGAGTGACAAGGTAAACGGCCTGGGTTCAAGTTGAAGTTATGTGACCTCAAACAAAGTTACCAGCCTTCCTAAGGGTCAGGTTGTTTTCTTATGTAAAGTGTTAATAATCAGCACCCACTTAACAGCGTGGTCCTAAATACGTGGCGGCTGTGTTAAGCACATGCTTGATAAGTGAAGGTACGGTACCTGGATGTCAAAAACATCGAAGTTAGTGCTTGAGAAAACACTGGACTTATAATTCCCATAGCTGATTCTTACTTTACTTGGACAGGGTGGTGGTTTTGTTTTCTTTTATGTGTCAGTGTGCGTGTGGTTTTATGAGACAGGGTCTCACTATGTAGCCCAGGCTGACCTCAAACGGTGATCTGGGTGTGAGGGCAGTCTGGCTGTGCCAGCTGTCACCCCATTGATCACCAAGGTTTGTTCCCTTCCTCTCTCAAGCTCTATGTGTGTCCTGAAAGAGCACGACCACCCGTATAGAAGAGGGCCGCTTCCTCAGTCAAGGATGCGGGAGTAGCTGCACGCCCTGGTAGACCTCCAAACTCAAACGGCAACGTCCTGCCTCCATCTCTGGAATAGGGGAATTACATGCCTGTGTCACCACACCCAGCCACAGAGGATAAACTGCACTTCCAGCAGAGCAAAGTGATCTTTGTTTTTTTCCCCTACTCTTACTTTCT